CTGAAGGCAAGGCCTGTGCTCCACCCCTGCAGCCTGCACAGCCGAGCACACAGGAGCCTCCACTCAGCAGCTCCCTGGAGAGCTCCCCCCAGCCTCTGGTATTACAAGACAACCTTTCAACTCCCAAGCATGTTTCCACCACCATCTATCCATTCAACAAGCATTTCTAGAGCACCTACTCATCAGAGCCCTGGGTTACAGATTAAAAAAAAAAAAAAAAAAAAAAAAAAAAGCTTCTAATTCAAGTAACTCCAATTTAATAGAAAAGACAAGTGGATAAACATTTAAGTGTAGTGCAGCAGAGAACAGGGGACTGAGCAGGCCAACGGGACCTCCATCCCACCGAAATGGAGGCATTGGAAAGAGTTCCTGGAGCTGGCTGACGGCTGCCCCCAACCCTGAGGGGCAGCAATGAGCAGGCCAGCCAAAGAGCGTCTGGACAACACCTCGTGCACTCCCAGAGTGTCTTCCCCAACTCCCCACACTGCATCTTCTGGGATGATACAAGAGTTTTAATACTAGTCTAAGAGTAACATGGTCAAATAGACAACATAGCCTCAAAGGTAATCAGATGACGCATTTTGAAGTTAAAAAAAAAAAAAAATCCACGTGCTTCTGACTGCCATCCATTAGGGTGATGGCCTGGCTGCCACCTCCCTCTCCAGGCATCTCTTCCGACACCGCCATCCCAGACTCCAGCCACTGAACGTCCCGTGGGTCATGTCCATATGCCTTTGCCTCAGCCTGGTTGGTCTTGTCCATGTTGGCTGGTCAATGAACTGACCCTATTCCCCATCCCCACCTCCCCACCCCCACCATCCAGTTAAACAGCCCCTGCTCTCTGAAGTGCCCCTTTGCCTTGTCTGTGCCACTGGCCTCACCTGGACCTACCCCACAGGCACTGCTGTTTGCCTAACTGCCTTTCCTTTTTTTTTTTTTTTTAAAGATTTACTTATTTATTTATTCATGAGAGACACAGAGAGAGAGGCAAAGACACAGGCAGAGGGAGAAGCAGGCTCCATGCAGGGAGCCCGACGTGGGACTCGATCCCCGGACCCCGGGGTCACGCCCTGGCAGAGTCACCCAGGCATCCCTTAACTGCCTTTCCTATTAGATAGGGAAAACTGGAGAGGGCAAGGGGACCTTAGTAATCGTTTCACTGACGGGGGCCTAGCACAGTGTCTGGCCCATAGCAGGTATAGGATAATAAATGCTTGCTCAGCAAATGAAGATAATCAAGGGTTAAGTATATACTACTAAACAGGGCTTTCTTTCTTTTTTTTTTTTTTTAAGATTTTATTTATTTATTCATAGAGATACAGAGAGAGAGAGAGAGAGAGAGAGGCGGAGACACAGGCAGAGGGAGAAGCAGGCTCCATGCAGGGAGCCCGACATGGGACTCGATCCAGGGTCTCCAGGATCACGCCCTGGGCTGCAGGCGGTGCTAAACCGCTGGGCCACTGGGGCTGCCCACTCTTAGGATTTCTAATCAAATGTCAAAGCCTTCCAACAACCTCACACACAAACATCCTAACTGAAGCTATACAGGTTAATCTTTGAAGGACCTAAGTTGGTTATCAAAGACAGTGAGGGAAAATATTTGAGCCTAAAGTGAAAAGAAAAAAACATTATCCTACAAAATTTACACTGGCCCTGCCTAAATCCCAAAGCTACCTTGCTTCTTGTTTCTTTGGGAGGAACGAAGAAATCAAGCAAGCATTTATCAGAACTTTATGTTCGGGACTGGGTGGGTAGGTGCTGTGTAGCCTGATTCAAAGTCAAACAGAAAGAAAGCAAAACGAGAAGCAGAGAATGTCAGATTTCCTCTCAAATCCCAGCCTGACTTTTCCTGAGCTCTGCCCGACTTGCCTTAGAGCCCTGACAACACTGGTGTATTCTCACATCAGGTGACACCAAGCTTCCCCTCAGCGTCAACCTCCTACTGCTCTCACAAAGCCTTCTCTGACTTTCCTAGCCCACATTAATTTTTCTCTTTTCTGTATTCTTATGGAATTTCTTGTCTGTATAATTAATTTTGGCATTAAATCACAATGTCTTATATTATTATCCTTTTCTTAAGAGTCTATCTTTTCTCTCCCAGAGAGCCTATAAGATTTTTAAGGATCACATTTTGCATTTCTGACGATACCGTGCTAATAAGCACACAGTAGATGCTTAATAAACACAGATGGATTGACCCGGTACCTTCCTGGCAGGTGTCCAAGTTCTCTCCGCTGACACGGGAGGCATTTACTACCGTCTCAAGGTCAACCACGTTCACCAAAGAACAGAGATACCAAAAGAGGTACAAAGTGGGACACCTGCCACCAAGCAGAAGGGCTGGCGAGTGCAGAGGTGACACTCCAAGAGCACCAGGCTCCCTGGAGTCATCTTGCAAAAGCTTACACTTCCCTGAGACCTGAGCGTCTGGGACTGCGCCCAGAGAATCCCATTTTCCAGGATTGGGTTCAGAGATGGAATGTCTGTCCTTAAAGAGCCAAGACAAGGGAAGGAAGGGGCTCTAGATATAAAATAGGCAGGAACACACATGAGTGGAGGCCATAAATCCCTCCCAGGACGCAGACAATGCCTCAGTGATAAGCATGCAGATTGCACACCTAGTTCAGAAACTCCCCTGAGTTTGCTTGTAATTAAGGGGGTTAGAAAGGTAAAAAAAATATATAAACCCAATTAATCATTTAAATATTTAAAGTCAGATTTTTTTCCTCACTCCAGGATTAGTATATTTCATAACGCCAGCAGCAGACAGCCCTGGTTTTTACTGGGGTTCATTTTAGAGCATGTTTAAACTAGTCAGATTGAGTGATGCTTCCAGCAACTAATCGCATGTCAAATAAAAGATATTTTATGTAATAAATTACCGCTACAAGTAATTCAAATGTCATTTATCAGTTTTATTATCAGTCAGGCAAAGTCTTGTTTCTCTATATTAATCAAAATCAAGCTTTCTTTTTTTTTTTCTTTTCTTTTTTTTTTTTTTTTTTTTTTTGAGCAGTTTTGACACCTCTTGGCAAAAGTACAGAAGTGAAGAGGTAGAGAGAGTCACCCCCGGAGCTGAAAGGAGCAGTGTAACAGTACAAGAGGAATGAAGCTCAACAATGACAGGTAGAAACTTAAGGGATTTAAAATTGCCATTACCATTGTTTTTATACTAGCGTCAGAGCAGGAAGGAGTCTGTCTCTAAGATGTATTTTATTTTTAGGGTTGGGAGACTCTTAAAAATACTCCTACCTAAATACCTAAACTCGTAATGCTTTTTCTCAGAGAGACCTGGACAGAAGAATTCAGAGGACAGCACTGTCTGCACCACCCGCCACCCCAGGCCTTTCAGCCCTTTCTTTTGCCTCTTTCAGAAAGGCCAACAGTTTAACCCTTTGTGCCTACCAGAAAGTAGGCACGTGCAAGATGTTTTAGGCCGACTCTGTGACCAACCAGAACAATGTGTTCTGAGCAAGAGGTTTCCAAGTAGCCGAGAGACCTGTTTGGTTTTAAGCCATGGAGGAAACAGCTGGAATGGAACAGATGTGCGTCTTAGAAAATTCTGCACCCCAGCTGCCAGTGCCTGTCCTCAACAAATCCCATTAACTGTCTGTGCCCAGGGACACAACTAAAGAAAAAGTGTGGAGACCTAGCCTTTGGATAGAAGGAAGCACGGAGAGCATGTTCAGTGACCCAAAACAAAAACGGTAGATGGGCAAGAATGCTGGCCAGGAGGGAGACGTGAGTCCCAGGCCGACAAGTAGGTGCTACTGACTCAGTTGCTCCAACACAAGGCTCACTGCTGAGCACTGTTTCTTGGGTCTCAGAGGTCACCTTGAGTGGTTTGTGAGACAAGGTGACCACGGATGAGGCGAACTTGAGCTCGTGCTACTCGATCTCACCCATTCAGCCCTATCCAGAAAGCTCAAGAACGGGCATATCTAAATGGGATCTGGGACATCATGATCCACCTCCTGCCCCTCCCTTGGCCCCCGACTGAGCCAGTGAGGAAGACAGCAAAGCAAGGGCCAGAGGGGCACTCCAGACCACGTGGTGGGGGTCAAAACAAGCCTGGCATTTTAAGTTATGCCTTCCAATATCTGGCATCTAACGCTTTTAAATGAACGTGTTTTGAAAAACTAAAACTTCTGAGATAGACAATTAAAATGAAGATAATTATAAAAAAACCATTTTGAAAGACAACAGATCCAAGGCTGAGTTATGTTAAAGACACAAAACTCGAGCTATTTTCCATCACTTTGAAGTAATTTTAACCTTTTCAGACTTTTTATAAGTGACTTAAGGGGTTCTGGCTGCATTTTGGAGATTGAACACTTATTAGTAGTTTGAAGAACCATTATTCTTCAAACAGCTTCACTTAAAAACACGGGTCATGTTCTCATGTAATAATTAAAAGCTAATTCAAAAAGGACCTTTACATTTAACCTGAAATTCTCTAACAGACTGTCACCACATAAATATACATGGCACAGCCAGGACAGGGAAGGAGGGAAGGAGGGAAGGAGGGAAGGAGGGAAGGAAGGAAGGGTGGAGAGGCCACCCCAAGTCTGCTAATATTAACTTTAAAAAATAAAATTAGGAGTGGAGTCATTTCAGGGAACAAACGAGAATGCAGCCATGAATCAGACGTTCAGGTTCTTGTTCGTGAAAGAGTGACACGCAAAAGCATGATGTAAGTAAATAGAAACAGAACCAAGAAATACTTTTATAGGTTCTTACTTGTAACCAAAATATTTGAAACAACACAATAAACTCATTTATTCTGGTCCCTCATCTCTTCTTAAACCTTTGTCGCATATTTAAAAGTTTTTCTAGGAGAGGATTTGGGTGTGTCACATTCTTTTGGAAGAACCCAAGAACGGTCTACTAGTCCCGGTTTCTCCCGGCTTGCTGAGTCTGGGAGATGGGAAGCCCTGCTCTCTGGCCGGAATCCTGAACCCCAGTCAAGGTTAAAGCAGGAGTTTGAGCGGGTGACTTACTGTACGGCTGAGAAATGAGGTGAGGGGGCTGGACAGGAACCACCTGTGTGGCTGGGCCCAAGGACGAAGGCTCGTCGGCAGCCGTGCCCGACTGCTGGAAAGCCAAATCAATCTCTTCATCTGTCAGCCCTGGGGGGAGAAGAGGACATAACTGCAGGTGAATACCTTTTGCCACCGTCCCGGGCTGCAACGAAGTCTCCCCTGAGACAAGACCCTGGGAGCCACAGAGTGCCTAGGATCCCGGTAAGCTTCCTCCCCGATTTCGGATTCTCCGGAACCTCTCTCAGTTGCAATTTAACCTTAAGCGACAGAATATTAGCCTCCACACTGCTTCCAAATGTGGCTCATTCAATTTCCTTAATTTATCCTTGAGTTTATTGCTGCTTTTGAAGTCGCTCCGTACTGCAATTCTCCATTCTTCCCCGAAAACAGATACCATCAACTGCAAATGTGACTCATTTTAATCTGTAATGGTGTTAAAAAAAGAGGGGGAAAAACTAACAATAATGCATGAAAACAGACAGGGAAACAAAAAACTAATTATTGGGTGAGACGACTAATTAGTCTCGATCGTTTCCGAAGACGGGAATAATTTGCTTTATTTTATGACAAATGCAGAAATAAAAAGAAAAATCAGGACTGTGATTAGTATGAATGGGATATAGAATGTAAAGGAGAAAATAAAACAAGAAAACAGATCAAAACAAGGCCAGGCCCAAACTTTCAGATGGTTATTGCTCTAGCCTAGCAGAGGCTGCCTGTATCGCCGTTGGCTAGCTTTTCTGCTTCCCTTTGTTTTAATCCTCCCGACAGGAAGGCGCACTGCGCTCGGGACAGCAGGGGACAGCAGGGCGCCACCTGCAGTGGCTACGCCCCGTGGAGAGGATCTGCCCACGGGAGGGTACCGGGCCAGGCAGCACCCATTTCCAGGGGGCACGCGGCTGAGGCGGACCGGGGACGCGGGCCCTGGGGGAAGAGGACGAGGGTGTCAACCAAGCGGAAGAACAGGAAAGAGGCGTGAGAAAGGCCCCCCACAGGGCCGCCCCCCCCAAGCGGGTACTGCGGGTGCAGAAGTGCTCGGGCGCCGGGCCGGCAGCGCGGGGAGGGGACTGCCAGGTCTGCAGAGGGCCCCCCCCCCAGCCGGGCTGTCCAGGGGTCCCATATCCCGTGCAGCCGCCACGGGGGCCTTCACACCAGGGCCGAGGGCTTCTTCGGTCCGGGCCGCAGCTCCCCTGGGGTGGATGAAATACCCCGAGCTTCGGGGATCAGCACCTCCGAGCTCGCGCCCGCTCCGCCCAGGGCCTGATGCACCGGGCACGTTACTGCGCCAAACGCCGCGCGGCCCCACGCCGCTGCCGGGAAGTTGGCCGAGCGCCTCTGCAACTGGTCAGGCCCTGCCCTCGGCCCCCTCCCTCCGCCCAACAGGTGAGGGCTGTCCCCCACCTTGGAACTGCAGCCCTGCCCCTTCCCCGCCCCCCGGGGGGAGCCCCAGTGGAGTGCTGCGGGGGGGGGGGGGTGGCCCCAGCGTACCCCGCTCTCAGCTCTCAACACACGCCCGGGCAGGTGAAAGGGCAGGTGACAGGACCCTTGGGCCCGTGGGGCTATGTGGCCGCTGCGTTCCTCCTCCCAAGCTCCCCAGCTGGCCACAAAGGCCCCCCGAGAGAGACCGAGGCAGGGCAGACGGCCAAGCCCCCAGGAAGGGAAAACTCAGCGCCGCCTCTCAGGCTCCATCCACCTGGGACTGACCGGCCGGTCAACTTCCAAAGACAAGGGGAGGCCCTTTCAGAGTTCTCGAAGGAAAGACACGGTTTTAACCAGTGCATCCTCCGCCGCGGGGGAGGCAGGCACGCGTGCGGCGTCAGCAGGACGGACGGTCACTGGGACACCATGGAATTTCATAAACCTGGTGCTTCATGTGCCTTGTCAGCCACTGGCTGCAAATGAGGATAATTTTCCCAAAAGGAGCATTCAGTTGCTTTCTCATGTTCCCTTTTGGCTCTTTCAAATATAAACAAGTACGATAATGTTTAACGCTGGGGAAATATACAGTAAGTCAGGGGCTGTGCTGCGGCCCTGAGAGCCAGAGCCGGTTAAAGGGACAGCGCTCCCTGCCCACTGCTCTGCCCTCTGGCCCCGAGCTCTTACGAAGCCTATTTTCCTAATAAAACATGTTCCCTGCATTATTGCAGCCGAGCCCACTAGCGAGGCCGTGGTATAAAGGGCATCAGCACTTCCTTCCAAGCTCTTGTTTTTCAGAGACCTTATCATTTGATGCTCTAAATTTACATTGGCTGGAATTCTGATATGCCCAGTCCTCCAGAGAGTCAGGGTTTTGATTTAGTTACATAAAATGAATCACTTTTCTTCTTGTAAAAAAAAAAAAAAAAAAGCATTTTCATGATCTCACTGAATAATACAATTTCAGAGCTGGACCATGATCCCAGCCATTGCGTTCATTTAACAGATAAAGAACAACAAGTAAGGCTGGAGGATGGTGGAAACGGGCCTCAGACCCCACGATGCAGGGCATGGTGCTGCAGGCTCTCCATCTGCCCCGGTGACCTCCCCCTCTAGCACAGAAACCACTAATGGCAGATTCTGAAATCACGTCTTAAGTCTCCCAGCTGGTGAGAGGTCGAGAACAGTGCAAAATGGTCTCTCTCAGCCCCACCTGGCACCCCTTCCACAGGTGAGAGCCGGCGAATGGTGTTTGGGGGCCTAAACCAAAACAACACAGGATCCTATCTGCAAGTGACACCTGAACAACTTTTCTGAACCCCAGAATGACAAGGGGAGAGTGTCCCTGTCCCCGTCTCCTTCTAATATTCTAGCTCCCAATAAATCCAAAGGCCTCTCATAACCCGGTGCCTATGCTTCCCTTACAGCCCTCTTCCTTGGGGCACCCCCAGCTTGGGGGTGGGGGTGGGGCACTGGCCAGCCAGGTTCAGGCCTCTCTCCACTCAGGTGAGTCATCGGGAACTCACGGAGACTTGGCGGGAAGGGGTGTCATCTCCTGCAGAATACAACAGTTATCCACCCGGATGGCCGTGTGCTCCTGGCGCTGAATCGACCCTGCCCTCAGGGAAGAGGGACTGCCCCAGGACCCACACACAGGGCATCCAGGTCCACCCTCCCCACCCCCGCTCCCCACAAGACAAACAGCAGAGAGCTTAGACTGAGACCTTGCAGAATCCCAAAGGTTAAAAGGAATAATAAAGGAAACCGCCAATTGGAAGTGAATTATATTTGGCTGCGAAAGCTGAGGCACAGGCTATATTATAAAAGGCATCTCTTTGCGTTGTTTACCATCACCCTGACTAATGCAGACCTTTTTTTTTGTTGTTGTTTTAAATAATCTCATGCAAATTAGACACACACACTTCCTTCCAGTTGATTGCTATCTGCAAGGAATAATCTAACCGCAGAGGGACCGAGCAAGGGCTGAGCAGAGCAGAGACGGGGGGCAAAGGGTGTCGCCGTCCTGTGGCGGGCAAACCTCCTGCCCTCCCCCGTGCACCACCTCAAGTCTTTCCTTTAGCTGCTGCTTTTGGAAGAATTAACTAATTTCAATAAAGCCTACGATTTCCTTTTAGCTGGGGTGTCAGTTTGCATTATCCGATATCACTAGCACTTTGCACTGAGATGCTTTCAGTAACTTCACCTCTGCCACTTGCCAATTCCAAGAGCTACCAGCCCTGGTCTGTGACAATTAAAACGTATCACTGCTAGAGAGTAAAACTAAGAAAGTCCTGCTCAGTTATTCCATCCACTCGCTAGCTTTGGCCAAGAGGAGGAGAAAGGAGCGAGGGCACGTGTCCAAAGTGAGCGGGAGGCCAGGACGCCTGCCTGTGAGAGGAAGTGTCATTTCACCTTTAAGACCACTGCTGCTGCCTGACTGGCAAAACCAAGAGGTCTCAATTCACATTATGCAAACGAAGGTCCCAAGCACACACACACACACACACACACACACACACACACACACACACACACCCCGGAATCCACGTGGACTCGTTGTTCTCTCAGTTCTCTGGAACCTACTTCCAGAACCGGTGCCCTTTACAAGGAGACGGCTGCTGCCCCTGTGCAGAAGCTGGCCAAAGATTTCTTTTCCAACACTTTCCCCAGGGTGGGATTCTTTTAAAAGAACAGAGCAAGCAAGCTACAAGCTATTGATTAATAAAGCCCCTTGTTACTGCTGTGGCAACTGAAGTGAAAGGCCTGGGGGAGGGGGCAGCTGCTGCACCTGCTTATTTATATCCCCTAGAAGATACACAGATCTGTTTTCTTTTTCTAAAGGTTTCGGTTCAAATGCAAACAAAACCAAACTGGTTGACTTTGTGAGCTGGGAGCGTTACCACTGCAGGTCCCTTCCCACGGACTCAGACAAACCGGGCATTGGGAGGAGCTGACTTTTTCCTGCGGGACCTGGCTGTGCAAGAGCTTCTCAGAATAAGTCAGCTCGATGCTGTCCCCAGTAACCGCTGGGCACTGCCACGGGGCCTGGCCCTATGCAGGTGAAGCAGAAAGACAGGTGACAGCAGACAGCAGCATCCCCTGCATCTCGTAGGTCAAACAGCAACCAGGACAGTAGGGGTAGGAATAGTTTGGAAATAAGCAAGGTGATGAACACCCAATGGCAACTTCCAGCCCGGCCTGAGTTTTATAATAAAAATGTCAAGTCTGGCTGGGATCAGGGAACAGGGCCAGAGGGCCAGCAGCAAAGGGCGGCCGTCACAGGCTGGCCACCGGGGCCATCTTCGTCCCCCGTGCACAGGACGTGGGTGATTCATCTGGGACGCGCAGAAACCATGCGGGGGTCACCTCTCTGAGAACACTACGAGTTATCTCCCCATGCACACTCTGAGAGGAGATGAGGCAGAGAAGACAGCTGGCTAAAAATACTCCCCAAATTAAAAGAAAAATCAACTCTCTCAGAGAAGGCTAGGGGAGGGAAGAGGGAAAAAAGTATTTTTATTTTATTTTATTAACATTTCGTTGGAACAGTAGAGTACAATAAGGACTCTCAGAGCCTCTAAAAGTCGTTGGATGACCTGTAGACCCCTATTTCCCAGTGCCTTGTATAAAATTGAATTTTTTAAACATAAATTACACGTAATGACGACACT